TACAACAAACGATATTATTAACAACAGGGGTACAACAAAGGATATTATTAACAACAGGGGTACAGCAAACGATATTATTAACAACAAGAGTACAACAAAGGATATTAAACAACAAGGGGTACAACAAAGGATATTATTAACAACAGGGGTACAACAAAGGATATTATTAACAACAGGGGTACAACAAACGATATTAAACAACAAGGGGTACAACAAAGGATATTATTAACAACAGGGGTACAACAAACGATATTATTAACAACAGGGGTACAACAAACGATATTAAACAATAAGGGGTACAACAAAGGATATTATTAACAACAGGGGTACAACAAAGGATATTATTAATAACAGAGTTACAATAAAGGATATCATAAACAACAGGGTACAATAAAGGATATTATAAACAACGAGGATAGAACAAAGGATATTATAGACAACAGGAGACTAATTTCCAAAATAAAGAATTTTACTATTTTACTTGTGATAGTCTTGATTTCTGTGGCCAGTATAACACCTACATAACATGACTAATTTCCAGAAATAAGAATTTTACTGATAGTAATATTGATAGATGTGTCTATGTGGTTGCACTTTAATCAATATTTTCGATAATTATCCTTTCATTGGTTGCATTCTATAAATCTTTAATAAAAGTAGAATAGAATCGTTGGGTTTTAATTAGCATTTCGATCATGTACCTTTGATCAAATAGTTGATATTACTACTACTAATGATAATAAAAGAGACGAAGCTGCGTAGCTTATGTTAAAACGGACTTTTCTCTACACTTCTCTCATATTGAAACAAGAGGGGATCCTCAATAGCCGCGGCACTTGAAATTCTTTTAGGCAGGATTAGAGTAAATTAATCTAAGAGACCTTGGACGTGGTCAAATACATCAATCGAAAGGGTTTGGCCTCCTGAGTCCAAAACTGTAATTAGACCTCAAATCGGTCAATAGATGACAGAGCTATGAGTTAAAAGTTTATAGTTGAAAAAATAAGTCGGAGCCATTCTATGAGTCGCTATGCCGCAGCTAAAAACTGCTGCTCTATACTAAAATTAGGTTAGCTTTTCGGATTCCACGAAAACCCAGTTAATTACGTTGTTTTCTAGCGTTTTGGTTAGGTTTGGCTGTTAATACAGTTAAACCATGCTTTATGGTGATTGGCTAAAACAGTTTCTAGGTCCAGCAACGCACGCTATGCTTTAATAAGTAAACAAGAAATACTTTTACTTGTCTTTTTTACACTAGATCTTACTGTATAAGTGACATTATCGTTAAACAATGGATAGTTCACGGTATTAATATACAACCAGTGATCAAGAATTGGAGAGAAGCAACAGAACTACGGGGAAGAGTAGGAAAGAACCGACAAAAATATTACGTCCTTGCTGGCATGAAATTAGATCGCATTCATAATTCAGAGGAAATATAGGACACATCAGTGATAAGAATGAGAGATAGGAAACTTCACTGAAGCTGAAATACCAGAGATCGTTTGAAATGATAAAGTATCATTTAATTAAATTGGATTTGAAGGAATGCAAGAGCGATTGATCTAGCCTGAACAGTGACTATTTTACTGTTCTGATCGTACATTATCTCTGTTGATCTAGCCTGCTCAGTGACTATTTTACTGTTCAGATCACACATTATCTCTGTTGATCTAGCCTGATCAGTGACTATTTTACTGTTCTGATCGCACCTTATCTCTATTGATCTAGTCCGAACAGTGACTATTTTACTGTCCTGCTTAAAGAATGACATTTTTCTCAGACAGAGTTGAGCAGAGGATAAGGTTAAGGGATAAGTAAGCCTACTCACCAGCAGTTTAAGTGTGGACTGCATATGGGTTAAATTAATAATTAAGCCTTTTTATCTGGAACTGAGATGAATACAGATTACTGGTTAAACGGATTATTAAGATTATTTACTTGGAACAGATCATTAAGCTTATTTATATCGGACTGAGATTAGAACTGCTTAGGGTTAATTCAATCATTAAGTTTACTTACATAGAACTGATATGGGAACTGCATACTGGGTAAAATGAATAATTAAGCCTACTTACCAATAACTCAGGTGAGAACTACATAAAGGTACATATCCGTTTGCATATAATGTCAGGTTTTTAGCTTTATTAAACGTTATCAACATGACACCAGCATTTATTGTCAAACGCCGATTTTTCTCCATAAGATATTTCAGTTAAACGGAATTTATGAAACGATGCCTCACTCACTGCTGCGTTCCTCTCAAACAACAAACAGGTAGTGGTATACGTTACAGGTGGTACATCTCTCTGTAATACCAGACGTGTGGGATTCACGTGACATCGCACGAGCTACGTATACACTGAGTGTAGCATGTTGCACGGAAAGGTCTTTATAAAAATACCATAAAAATTTGAAGATGTAGTTTAGTACAAGAATAAAAAGGCTGAATCATGATTTCACAGTCAAGTATTTACGCAAACTCATATTATTTGAATAAAAGCGAACAGTTTTGATTTCTCGATGTATATTTAATATTGTATACAAGAATCAGTTATATAATTAATATCATACTTTATATTTTAACTTTTAGCATCACACAAGACGGACAGGTCAAAGTTTAGATTATGGTTTAGAAACGTTTCCCAAAGAAGAGAGAATTTATAGTGTTACGTCTCTGTGTTCGTTTGTTAATTTTCCGTGGAAATTCTTTCCGAGAAACTTCAGCGATACAAGTCCTTTCTTAAATAAAACTAGTTTATTCTTTCTCAATTCAACTTTGCAATACACTTAATTTCCACAGTCACTTTAACTTAAACACATGCTAGAATTCACAACGATTCACGCACTTTACTTACGGTAACTACCGCGCTTGACTCAATTGTCCGTCTCTGTCTGTCTGAAATTCTATTCCGATTAATTAATTTTGCTTTATATGGCGCACTTATATACAAGAATAGAAGGCGCGTAGAAAAGACCAGAGTTGCCACGAACAGACATGATCCTTCTAGAATATCATGACGTGTTACTAGAGTCACGTGACTTCCGCTGTCGTAACAATAGCTTATAGTACAACATTAAAAGTTGAGCCTTCAAATTTTATTCTCATTCTTTTCTTAAAGCCCAAGGTTAATCTGTATTTGTTTACAGTACAGTCAGTTGTTTTCCGACTGTATAAGATTAACACAGTAAACAGGTTGCAAAGACAATGGACTTGGAAACAGATTATTAGTCATACTGTTGTAGTCCTCTACACCATAGTATTTATTTTGTCAGTTTTTGATGACTGTTACACACAAGTACTATCACCAACACAGAAATACACGAACTCTGAGGTTTCTGTCAAATCTCTTAAACCTTTCAGCTTAATCGGTCAGGTTGTGCTTACAGATATATATCAGATGATAAATTTCAACAAATACCTATAATTATAAGTAAACATTGTTCAAGCCAACTGACCAGTATGTAGTGACCATTGGCGAAGGAATACTACATAGTATTAACGGAGCAATAATTGGTATTAGTATTAGTATTAGGCCTGTTGTATTTTAACCACGAACTCTTTACTTATTCTCTTGGGGGAATTCAAGAATTATAAGACTGTATACTAATAGTGTCTCAACTACAATTGTTATGGTGTGATCGCCTTTTCTAAGCTGGGAAAGAATTACCATAATTAATTATACTTGATGTAAGAAATTAAATAAACTTACTCACTATATGAAACAATAGACTAAACAAACATATTCAGTCCCAAGTGACAATATACTAAACAAACCTACTCAGTCTCAAGTGACAATATTATTGTGTATCTGCTTGTTTGATAATTTCCGGTAAAAATTATTTCCGAGTGACCTCAGCGATACAAGTTCCTTCTTGATGAAAACTAGTTTATTCTTTGTAATACACTTAACAACTTTTATAACACATGCTATAAATCACA